ATGAAGCACAAGTATTTCACACAGAGTTATAGGAAAATTACTCCTTTTCCGAGCAGCCATGGTCTTGACTCCTTATGAAAGAACCAAAACTTGATATAATACAAAGACAACTGAGAAAATGTTTTCAGAATTTCACATCATAGTAAAGAGCTTAAGAATGGCCTGTAAGAACTCACAAGGAAAGGCCCCCAGAAAATTCATGAGAATGTGTGCCCTCCAAGCTCTCAGTCTTGACTTTTTCACTTCCTTCTAGGGGACCCACTAGCTCTTCATTAAAGAGTGTTCTCGAAAAAGAGGCCTTAGAAATTCAGAATCTTAAAATTTCAAATTTCCTCAAAATATACTATCCAATTCCTTATAAAAACTGAAATCACATAGCAAACATGTGAAATCAATGTGGCAAAAGCTCAATCAATAATAGCTAGCATGCAAGGATATTAGATCTACATGAAAGATTGCTTCTTGTGAGAAAGTCACACAAAGTGTGTTCCTGATACTATTCTCTGCAATCCAGTGGCATTTTAGTCTCTTTTTGTAGAATAAATGCACTGTCCTTTATTTAATAAAGAATCAGCAAACCAGCAGAAGGCTATTCTGAATGATATAAAAATTACCCAAAATGAAAGAAGCTTCCTGATTCACATACTCAATAGGTTGAGTGTCACCCAAAGCATGGGACAGACAATTTTATTATTCCCTCCTTTGGAACTCCTCAGGTCATTACACTTCCATCTCCTACACACTTAGTCTCACATCCAAAAAGCAAGACACAGAAAAGTGTATCTCTAAGAGCAATGAGGCTATAGTTAAGCAATTAAAAATACTTACTTACTCACCTGTGATTGGAGATATCGAGCAGAGATTACCATTTAGACTTTAAGAGACTGATATGGGGCTGCTTTTATGAGCACAAAGAAGTAACACAAAATAATGTTCCCTATAGAGTCTGTGCTGGTAAACTTCTGAGTGATAGGCTTTCTAGCTGAGTGCCAAGACTCTACTCAGTTCCTAAAGGCCAATGCATGGGACTGGAGTGAGTAAGGAAAATGCCCTTTGGATTAAGAAGATCCTCACATCTTATGGGAATATTTCAAGAGCCTCGGAGACACACCTTGGGGATCTTCAAGAACAGGTCCTGAGACTCACTACTTCTGATTCCTGCCTCAACCCCTGAGCATCTAGTTGTCTTCTAGTGGTTCTGTTACCATCATAATTATGCTTCAGGAAGTCTCCTGTGGAATCTGACCTGCTCCAGGTGGACCACTACCTCTTGGCTAACATCTATCCAATGAGAAACAACCCACATCCTTTCCCTATTATCAGAGGAAATGCAGTTCTCTAGATTTTGCTTCTCGGCCACATAAGAAATATCAGTCTTTGACTCCAAAATGCTGGATGTAGAAGTCAAACTCTCTAACTGGTTATCTTTTTCTCTCTCAGCTTAAATTAGGGAAAAGCACCCTGAACAGTATTGCCAGCTACATATGTTGTACCTTGATCATGAGTGACGACATTAGTGCCTGGATTTATATTATATCACACTAATGTTATTGATACCAGAAAGTGGTCCTGTGTACTCACAACAGATAAGAAGATCTACATTCCACAACCTCAAAAATAATGATTTTTTTGTCTCACTACTTGCCATAATAAAGTAATGAGATTTTCTCTCCTAATTAAACATCTAAAAAATGGAACAAAATATTTAAAGCAATGATTTTAAGACACTATACAAGACAGGGTTGGGTACGCCCCATGACCCATCTGCCTGATTGGAACAACTTGTGATAGACAAGGACTTAGGTGGAGTCCTGAGAAGGACATTATCTTAGTAGTGGGGGCTAAATTAACCTCAGAATAAATGATGTTCTGTATCTACATTAGCAAATAAAAAATGTATGCCTCAAAATAAGCCTAATAATTTAGGGGAAATACAGACATAGAGAGAGAAGATTTTTGTTTAAGACTCACATAGAACTTGTTTAAATAAAAAATCTAAAATATGAGTGAAAAATAAATTGCATGGAATAAATAGTAGATTAATTACTGCAGAAGAAAAAAAATCAAGGAACTTGGAGACGTAGACATAAAAACAATCCAAAATGAAGCATAGATAAATTGTTTTAATAAAATGGACAAAGCATCAATGACCTATGTCATAATTTCAAGTAGTCTAACATATGTGCAACTGGAGTCCTAAATAGTGTATGATTTTAAAAAATTAAAGAAATAATGACTGAATTTTTCCAAATTTGATAAAATATGTAATCTAGATCCAAGAAGCCCAATAAAAATTAAATAGAATAAATACTAGAAAACATTACAATGAACATCATAAACTAATTGCTAAAAAAGTTATAAAGAAAAATCTTAAAATCAGCAAGAGAAAAATCAACACTGTTATTACAGAGGAATAAAGATAAGAATGGTAGCATACATCCCACCAGAAATTGTGTGAGACAGGTAATGGAGCAACAGCTTTAAAGCACATAAACAAAAGTCTGGCAATTTAAAATTTTATATACAGAGTAAACGCCTTTTAAAAATAAAGGCAAAGTACTTTTTCATGCCAACAAAAGCTGAAGTAAATTATTACCAGCAGAACGTTACGACAAGAAATAGTTAAGGAAGGTCTTTAAAAAAAAGAAAAAAAGATACCAGATAAAAATCAGTGTCTCCATGAAGGGACAAAAAGTGCCAGAAATTATAAATACGTGTTTAAGTGTAAAAGACACTGTTATTATTTTTAATTACCTTAAAAATAATATAATTTTTCAAAAAAAAACCAGAATTGCAGTGTCTTGGATACTAATAACATAAGTAAAAGTGAAATGTGTGACATTAAAATCACAAAGCATGAACAGGGAGATGGAAGTACAGTATGACATGGCTATAGCAATATATCTTAAATGATGTAATATTATGTGAAGAAATATTTTATGAATTTAAAATGTACATTGTAAACCCTAGAGTAACCACAAAAATATAAAATAAAAAGGAATAAATAAAAGTGCAATAGTGAAAATTTAATGAAAGTAAAATATTTCCATAGAAAACAGTAAATGAAAGAAGAAGCAATAACAGACAAATAGGACAAATGAAAGGCAAACAGTTGGAGGACAAATTTAAATTCAATTCTATAAAAAATGTATCAGATTTAAATTGTGCAAACACTCCAACTAAAACAAGGAGCTTATCACATTGGCTTAATGGGTATGCAAATGCAGTTACATAGAAGGAATAACTTTTAGTATTTGATAGCAAACTAATGCAGGGATAGTAATGTATGTTCAGCTTGATTGTGGTATACACAAAGTATACATATACTAAAACATCATGCTGTGAAGCCTAAATATATCAATTTTAATCTGTTAATTATATTTCAATAAAGCTGGGGAAAAACAAGGTATTTTCAATGGCTAAAAAAAACTCTCCCTAAAATTGAATACCCATTAAAAATTATCTTCAAGAATTAAGATTAACAAAAATGATATTCTAGACAAAAACTAATGTAAGAAAAATTATCATCAGTATATTTCTGTTGAAGGAAACACAAAAGGAAAAAAATAGGCAAAAATAAAGATTATCTCTTGCGGAATTTCAGTAAGATAGAATCAAGATCAATGGAACATGAAAGTTATGAAAAACTATTCTATTTCTTTTCAATTGAGCCCAATATTTCTGAAGAAGAAGCAAAAAGTTTTGGAGTTGACTGACCACTTGGAAGAAACCACTTAGGAAGGACTGTTTGAACTTGTTTAGATTGTGCATAATTAGGGCACGAAAAAAGGCAAAATTTGCCTCAAATAGAAATTTTGCAGGCAAAGTCAATGTTTTTGGAGTTATTTAAATTAAGCTAAATCCAGGACAACTGAAGAGATTGCAGGAAAACTGAATGAAGGTTTCAGACAAATGAGAACTAATTGTAGAGGAAATTACTAAATATTAGAGGAGATCCTGAGTAATTAACAAAGGCAAAAGGACGAAAGGTTCCCTGTGAACCAATAACTTAAAAACAGTAATGTTGAACACAAAGTGACAATGCAGAAAAAACACACAAAATAGAAAATTAGAAAGCTCTAGTGAAGATATAAAATTTAGTGATAAAAATATTTCTAAACTTTGAATTGATAACTTACTCAGGAAATATAGTGTACAGAATAATAGAAGAGTCTTTATTTGAATTTTGGAAAATGGATTTTGTTATGTTCAAATGGTTCTGTTTATTTAAAAGACCTCCATTTCTTACAATTTACTTACTTGAATTTAATATACTATATATATATCAGAATGTGTGCTGGAATAACAGTTATTTACATCAGCACTTGAAATTCATACAAGGCAGGAATTTCCAACTAATCTGTGATTATATTATGTGAAATGTTAATATAGAATTATAGTACTTAATATATTTTAATACTATATTACCCTCATCATTAGTTTTGTGTGTGTGTCTGGCTAATCTCTCATACAACTTTGGTTTTAACTTTCCGTATTGCATCAACTGTGTCTTTATACATCAATTAAGTGCTTAGAATGAAATGTTATTTATTTATGATCGAATTAAGCTTGTGATGTGAAAAAAAATTCACTTGAAAGGAGGCATGTAGTAAAGTTGGATTTCTATCAGACATAAAGCATCGTGAAGGCAAGATATTTGTTTTGCTCACTATTGTGTTGCTAGTACCTAACACAGTGACAGTGAGATAGTAGGCACTGTGTAAGTATTCTTGGATGAATTATTATGTGGCTGGTCAAGCCTCCACCCTCAATCTATCTTGAAATTCACCTTGAGTCATCTCATAAGCATAAATTCATGTGTGATCCAAGTGGCTCATTAGTTACAAAGATATTTCTGTTACTTGGAAAATTCCAAAAGTGTTTGTCCTAGAAGAAATGCCACATTCTTTTTTACACAGCAGATACCTACTCTGATCCCTCCCTATACTTCCTACCTCCTTAGTTCTCCTGACCACATAATTATCCTGACATATGTACTTATGCGTTTGGTTATTTTGGGCCTCCATCACATTAAACTTTAAGTTTGATGACATTATGGAATTTGTTTTGCTCGCTCCTCTGTTTCTTGAACCTACTACACTGCCTAATATAATATGTGCTCAAAATTTTTGAAAGAAAAATAAAAACCAAGTAAACTAATCATTTCTTACAGTGAAGTGATGGAAATCACTCAATAGAAATCAGATATCCCTCATTAGTCCTAGTGGTGCTGCTGCCAGTCTTTAAACAACTTCCTCCCAAAGATTTTCTTCAGAGCCATCATCACTTCTTTGTTCCTAAGGGTGTAGATCAATGGGTTCAGGACAGGGGTGATGGTGCTATATATGATGGCCATTATCCAGTCCTGAATCATGAAGGTGGCTGAAGCAGGACGAATATATGTGAGGCCCACAGGTCCATAGAAAAGACATACCACCATAAAATGGGAGGCACAAGTGGACAGAGCCTTATGGAGTATTCTGCAGGACCTGTTCTTAAACAGAAGGAAGCCAATTATATAGAAGTAGGAGAGAAGAGTCAGAAAGAACCCTCCCATGGATATGCTGCCTGTGACAATGGAAAGAAGCCATTGATTGAGTAGTGTGTTACTACAGGCCAGTTCTAAGAGCGGCTTGACATCGCAGAAGAAGTGATTGAGTTTCTGAGAGCCACAAAAACTCAGGTGTGCAGTCATGACAGAATGCATCAGAGCATAAAAGAAGCTGATGAGCCATGCCCCAGACGCCAACAGAATACACACCTGGGGGTTCATGATGACAGTGTAGTGGAGAGGATTGCAGATAGCAACAAAACGGTCAAAGGCCATGATAGCCAGTAAAATGGCCTCTGTACTTCCCAGAAAGTGGAAGAAGTGTAGCTGGGTGATACAGCCTAGAAAAGATATAGCCCTGCGAGTGGAGACGAGGTTTACGAGCAGCTTGGGTAGTGTCACTGAAGAATAGCAAATATCCAGACAAGAAAGGTTTCCCAGAAAAAAATACATGGGGGAATGGAGTTGTGGTTCCAAAACAACCATCACCAATATAGATCCATTTCCAATCAAGTTTATCAGGTAAATGATTAAGAAAATCCCAAAGAAGAGAGGCTGCAGCTCCTGAGCACCAGTCAGGCCAAGTAGAAGAAACTCATTCATTGTAGTGACATTCTCCATTGCTCTGGGAAGCAAATTTAACAATAACAGAATTAATTTTTCTGAAGTTTTAATTTTATACTGAGAGGATTAAATAAAGCAAGTTTACTATTTGGAGGAACCTAGGGGTGAGCAACAGTGTGAAGAATAGTTATGAACAGTAAAACAAAATTTATGTACAACAAAATTGAGGAAGACTAATATACCTGATAAATTCTGAGCTGTTGAAATGGCACTAGAGTAATAAGAGCATTATATTATGAACAAATCAGATATAGATAAAGAGCATTTGTTTTCAAAACTAAGGAGTGTAAGATTTGATGGACATAATCATAACCCCATGTGTGGCATTAGAATTATGTACTACAAAAATTTTAAACATACAAACGGAATAGTTTTTCAACTTATGATTCCAGGTTCTGGCAAAAACTCAGATGTAGCTTAGTGGGGATTTCATCACTTCTTCTAAGATACATAAAAGCCACAAGAGAGTAACATATCTCTTCTGACAACCCAAACTTTCAGTGAAAGTAAGAGACACAAACACCCACAAACCAAATGTTGTATAAGTAGAGGAGAAAAAAGCAGCATGATTAGTATCATTAGTCATAAGACTGCGGCATAGCAATGAGGTTGTGGATATAGTTGGGAAAAAACTGAAATAGTTAGAGGTCCCATTAGTAGAAGAACTGCAAAAACACCCCCAATTTTTCATATCTGACAGAACTCTCAAAACTTAATAGTATTCTTAAAAGTCCAAGAACATGGGCAAAAACTAGGAACAGACATACAAACATAAACAGAAAATGATATATAAATGACAAATTAACACAGGAAAAGGTGATCAAAATCATTTTCATCAGCACAATGCAAATTAAAACCAGTAAAATGCTACAACACATCTATCAAAATAGGTAAAATAAAAATAGTGACACCACCAAATGCTAGGGAGGATACAGAAAGACTGGATCACAAATATAATACTGGTCAGGATATAAAATGGTACAACTGCTCTGGAGGGAGTATAGTCGCTTCTTACAAAATTAAACATATGCTTACTATATGACCCAACAATTGCACTCTTTGGAATTTATGTCAGTACAATAAAAACATGTTCACACAAAAACTTGTATGTGAATGTTCATAGACTCTTTATTTATAATAGCCAAAAGCTGGAAATACCCCAAATGTCCTGCAATGGAGAAATGGTTGCACAAACTGTGGTATATCCATACCGTGGAATGCTACTTACCAATAAAAAGAAAACAATGATTTGGTAAACTCTCCAGGAAATTATGTTTAATTTTTCAAAAAGTGAATTCCAAAAAATTATATACTGTATGATTCCATCTATATAACATTTTTGAAACAATATTTTAGAAATGAGGAAAAGATTGGTAGTTACAGTTGGAGAATGAAGTTGGAGAAGGAGCAGAGGAGAGGTGAGTGTGGTCATGAAAGGGTACCAAGAAAGATCCTTGTGGTGATGGAACTCTTCTGTATTTTGACTATGATGGCAGATACAGGAACATGAGATAAAACTGTGTAGAATTAAACTCAGATACACAGAGCAATTGAATACAAATAAAACTGGGGCTATCATTCAGATTCATGGGTTGTATCAGCATCAATATTCTGATTGTGATACTGTGCTGCAATTTGTTACCTTGGGGAGGAACCACGTAAAAGGAAAACAGCATCTTTGTGTATTTTTTCTTACAACTGCATATGGTAATTATACATAAGATTTTAATTAAAATGGTAAATCATATCTGTACAAAGATCAAAATACTTAATAAATTATATATGTTTGAGAATGGCTAAGTAGGAATTTCTGATAATGGCAATTTGTACTAGTTATATGCTGGGTAATTTTTTCAATAGCTCTCAAAGTAGAAAATTATGAATCACATACTTTGTATTATAATTTACCTGTAGATATTATTCAATATGTGGAAATCATTATTATATACCATAATATTTATTTGAGTATTTTAAACGCAAACATTAGACAGAAGCCTAACAGCCAAAATAGGGGACTAGGTGAATTATTACACCTATAAGAGAGAATAATATGCAGCTTTAAAATACATATATGTACATATATATATATACACACAAAGAAAATAGCTAGGTGGATAGGTACAGAAAGGTGCACAATTCATATATATGCAGATTTTTACATATGTACATATACACATAGAAATTATATATGTTATTAATGCCAAGGTGACTTGTTAAATGCTATAACCAAGATGCAGTACAATGTGAGTAGTATGCTAAAATATCTGTTTAAAATTTTTTCAATAGGCACATGTACTTCTAAATGGACATAAAAGAAACTGGTAACAGTTGTAGTCTCTAGGAAGAGAAACTGGCTGGCAAGGAGGCAAAGGCAGATTTCTTCTTTTTAATATATTTTGAATACATTTTGAATTTTGTACCATATTCATATATTATGTACTCAAAAAACAAAATTATTTTCTCTAAAAATAAGCATGGCAATACTATGCACAAATACATAGTTGTGAAAAAGAGCAGTGAACTGAGCATCTAAAATATTTAGGCCCAGTGATATTATGTATAAATGGTAGTGTGTATGACAAGTACAGTCTGTTTTGTAGATGGCAAAGTGGAGACTGTAACTTACTTTGGACTCGAAAGTCTCTACTTTGGCATCTGTAAAACAGATTATACTTGTCATATGCTTTTCTCTGTTTTATCAAATCTAAGGCACTATTCCATTTATTCTTTTTTTTTTCCAAGACCGTCTTGCTCTGTCACCCAGGCTGGAGCACAGAGGCGCAATTTCGGCTCACTGCAACCTCCACCTCCTGAGTTCAAGCAATTCTCATGCTTCAACCTCCCAGATAGCTGAGATTACAGGCATGCACCACCACACTGTGCTAATTGTTGCATTTTTAGTAGAGACAAGGTTTTACCAGGTTGGCCAGCCTGGTTTCCAGTGCCTGATCTCAAGTGATCTCCCCACCCCACCTCGGCCTCCCAAAGTGTTAGGATTACAGGTGTAAGCCACCATGCCTGGCCACCATTTATTCTTAAAGGTAGAATTTTACATGTCTGTCTACTCACTGGAATATCAGATTATTAGAGGTGGAAAAAAAACTAAGAGTATCTTATTCTTCATATTCTTACAGTTCCTATATCGTGTAGAAAATCAGAACAATGGTGTGGAAAATGATCTATAGAATAAAATTGGTCACTTATTCTGGCTATCCATGTACTCTTACAAATGACTGTTAAAATAAACAATTATTCTAATATAATAATTGTAAATATGAAATAAATTTCAAGAAAAAATAAGCATTAAAAGAAAGACAAATAGTAGTATCTTTAAGTAACTTTGAACTAGTGACTTTGATATCATAACTACATCTTCCAAGTATAAAATTAATTCTGGCTGTATAGCTTCTAAGAGGGAGATCTCTACTCTAGCCCCCACTCTGAGTTCTAGACTTATCTAATTTCATATTTGACTCTCCACTTGAATTCACACAAAACCGTGTATGTATATATTCATAGAATCTTTATTCATAACAGACCAAAACTGGAAATAGCCCAAATGTCCTTCGATGGAGGGATGGTTGAATTCTTCACTGAATTACAAAAATCAACATGTCAAACAGAATGCATCCTCTTTCCAAGCATGCTCCTCTCACAGTGTCTCAACGTAATGAACAGAATAAGAACCATCTAGTTGTTCAAACCAGAAATGTGAGAGCCACATTGACTTCTCCTTCACTTCAATCACTCTCTTTAAGTCAGTCATCAAGTCTCTGAAACATCCCTCAAATTCATGTCTCTTTATCCACACTGCCACAACCCTGGCCCAAGTCATAACTGCCTTTCAACTTAACTACTGCAAAGCAACCTTACAGTTCTTTTCTTCCCCTACTTCATGCCATCTTCATAGTGTAACCAGAATGATTGTTTAAAGACCTGTGTTATACTATAAATTTCTATGTGAAACATTTCAGTACCTTCCAACTGGACAAGCTTACAAACCCTCCATGAATGTCTGTGGCTTATCTCTTCAGTCTCAGCTTTTATATTACTTGGATGTGGTCATACTGGGTATCTTCCAATTCCTCAAATATATCAAGGTGTCCATCGACAGGGACTTCATTCACACTTGTCCTCCCTGGATCACTCTTTACTGCCCCTGTCCTTTAATGTAAGAAAATATCTATTTATCCTTTGGGTTTCAGCCTGTCTCAAGTTAAGTTAGACCCTATTATGATACCCTTCTATAGGTTTCTGTACTTCCATTTGTCTGGTAATCATTATTATCCTTCTTCAGCTACTTTCTCCTATCATTAAACCCTAAATTTATTACTCATTACTCAACAGTCATTAATAACTTCAACCCTTCATAATCTCAGTAATAAGCATCCTAGACTCCAACTACCACCAGCTAAATTTCTAATTTACTCTCTCCAATACCACAAATCCTATAATCTTCATCCTGTAAATTGCAGTTATTCTATTTCATGTTCTTTAATACTCTCATGTACTCACCCTCCTCCTTACCCACCTTAAGTTCCATATGCATATTTACAGTCACTTTATAGTAGCATATATCCTTACATCCCTTGACCAATTTGTGCTTCATGTCTTTACCTGGAAAAAGTCAAACCACTCTCTACTTCCTCTGCATCTAAATATTTGCAGCTGAACATGATTGGAGGAAAATGCACCTATGCTCACTTGTCTAGATCTAAATTCACTGACACTCAACTGCATTGAAATCTTGGGAATACCACTGACTCAACTACCTGGCCCACCCACCTAATGACCCAAGTACTAAGCCATCCTGCCCAGGACTCCAGGAACAAACCTACCTCCAGACCACGCTGTATGACCTGCCCAGAATCTCTGGATAAGCTGATGCGTGAAGGGCGTGCCCTGCCGAAATAGTCTGTAAAGACTGGAATATATGCCTATTTCTTCAAATGCACAGACACCAACACATGACCACAGGGATCATAAGCAATTAAAAAAAAC